ACTGGAACTCTATTTTCCTCTCAGTACAAACATAAGATTAGCATTGAATGAAAGAGGCCACAGTGAATCAATCTGAAGGGCTTTTGGGAAACCTGACTGAGATAGTTCCTTGAGAAATTATTGGTGAAAAGAATAATTAAAAAAGCTAAACAGCTTTACAACCAGGACAGATGACATCTGAATTTAGACTCAATAATGAAAAAAAAAAAACTTATATGCTGGACAATAGGATCCGAGAGGCCAAATTTTAAACAATAACTACACAATCCTTTAGAAAAATCATCAACATTCTACCTCTCTTCCTGTAGGAAACACTTAATCTTGACAGTGTTCTGTTAAGAATATTTGACCAAGATAACCTGGAAAAGAACCATAAAAATAAGCCAATGAAATTTTACAAGTTATTATAAATCAGTATGTCCAATTGAAATACAAGGGATTGATATTATCATGCTACACTTAAAGTCTTTCACATAATTGTTGTTAGTTTGCAGTTATACCCTGACCTAAAGAAAGCAATGTTGCAATCCTGACTCAAGCACACAGAGTCTCAATAACTGCAGACATACAACATAAAAAGACTATGCCCATGGTCCAAATGGATTTCCATTATGTAATCTATACAACTTATTTTTCAGTGATCCTTACCCCTGGAGTGTGGGCTAGGTGGATAGGAATTGGTGCTATATTCAGTAAATCCACTGTGCCATAATCTAAGACGTTTTACATGGCAAATCAGAGACCATTCTACAGGTACATATACCTCTAAATCTACATGTGGGTTTACATGTAAATTTGCATTCATTTTATGTCATCAATAGCATCTTTCACAGCAATATTAAGAAACAAAATAACATTGATTATACTATAGTATAATTATATATTGTAACATATAATATGGTATAGTATATATTATATACTATATATACTATATGTAATATAGCATATAATACATAACATTATATTACATATATAATATTATGGCAAATATAGTATAATTATAACATAGCATAACAATACAATCTAGAAGACTTCTTTCATAATCATTTGACTAGTTTGGAACTTTCTCCCACTAAACTTAGAATTTTTCATTTAAACTGATAAGAGTGAGTACGGGAATAGGCAGTTCTAAAAACTTGTTTTCTTTAAGGTCAAATTCACCATCAGAAACCTGCTTAGCATTTGCTACTTTCCAACAGGCTAGATATTAGTTCTGTACAACCTCTATGGATATCTGGAAAAGAACTGCATGAATTAAAATTTAATTAATTTAAATGGAATTATGGATCAACAAACTGATTAATTGGGTAGCTAGGTAGTGTCTGGAGTCAGGAAGACCTTAGTTCAAATCTGACCTCAGATACTTACTAGCTGTGTGACACTGGGCAAGTTACTTAACCCTGTTTGCCTCAGTTTCCTCATCTGTAAAATAAGCTGGAGAAGGAAATGGCAAACCACTCCAGTATCTCTGCCAAGAAAATCCCAAATGGGATCATGAAGTTGTTCCTATTGAACGATAATTTCCTGACTCCAGGACCATAGTTCTGTCTACCACTCTGACAGCTGCACAAGGGGCAAACTTCTTCTCTTGGACTGAAGCTATAGTATTCAGCCTCAGTAGGAAGCTTTCCAGAGAGAAAGATGAATGCTTGTGAAGGAGTGAGATCGAGCTGTCCACTTATCCATGTGCTCTTCTCGGCCAAGTGGTTTGCTTGGTCCTTGCTGGATTGAGGAGAATCTGAATCCACAGGTGAGATCATTAGCTTTCCTTGATTTCCTGTTCTGTCCTCCACACCTTGGCCTAATGCTGGTCTGCTCACTTAAATTCCTCCTCCATCATAGCTGAATGACCGAAAAGATGCTCTCATATATCATGCATAGATATGTATAGCAGAAAGAGATTTAGAACACAGGCACTTGGTTCAAATTTTGGCCCTACTGCTTGGAATCTGAGTGACCTTGGGCAAATAACTACACTTCTCTCTGCCTCAGTTTCTCATCTGTAAAATAATGTGGTTGTACTCTAATGTCTTTTTTGACTCATTGCATATAATCTTATGATAGGCAGATTGCCTATTTTTTTAATCTCCAAACTATAAAAAACATACAGATTAATTAGGTGTGGACATCATTGGGGGATAGAATGAAATAGTAGAATTTGTGTCAGAGGTCCTGGGTTCAAATTCCAGCTCTGGTACATACTACCTGTGTGAAGGGAAATCCCTGCTACCTTGGGAAATTTAGGCCTCAGTTTCCTTGTTTATAAAATGATAGGGTTGGGCCAGATGACCTAAATTTATGATTCCAGTATTCATAATTTGCGTGTAGATCTGGCCTTTGCCTGGGTGTCAAGAACGGAGCATTCCTCTTGCTATGTTTAACTTTATTTTTGCTTTATTCAGACTAGATAGCAGCTGATGTTTAGATGATACTTTGAGGCTAGTGAAGAACCTGGTCTTTCCAATAATCTTGACGTGGTGTTTTGTTAACTCCATACCTATCTTTCCTTGGACTAGACTTGTGAATTCATTGGTACAGGGAGCTATCTATGAAGGCCTCCCTTCACCAAAGCAGCACCTACTTTGCAGCATAAAAGGCCCAGAGAGTTGCTTGGGGATCTTAAGAGGTTACATTTTCCCAAGGTCGCACATCCAGTATTTGAACCAAGGTTTTCCCTTTCTACTCTGTCATGCTTCCATCCAATCATCTCCATGGTGAACAATCAAACAAACAATTTTTGAGTGTGTATTTAGTTTAGCTCTGTGTTAGGCTTTGGGGAAATGGACTCACATAGTCTTAGAGTTGGAAGACACATCAGATGCCATCTTGTCCAACCCTTATACTTGAATAAGAATTCCTTCTACAGTAGATCCAATGAGTGGTTATCAAGTCACTGCCAGGATACCTCTAGGGAAGGACAAAGGTAAAAATATGGTTTTTAGCTTGGAGATTGTCCTATCTTTGAGGGACTGTAATCTGTGTCAGAGGATGTTTGATGATACCTGTGGTGCTTGATTTCTTCCTTATTTAACTTCTTGTTGGACATGTTGAACTGGATGTACCTTGGATATCTTGAACTTAACATGTCCATAAGTGAGTTCATAAATCCTCCCCTCTTCCCAACTACTGTTTTTTTTCTTTTTCTTTTCTTTTTTTTGGCTAAGCATTGGGGTTAAGTGACTTGCCCAGGGTCACACAGCTAGTAAGTGTCAAGTGTCTGAGGCCAGATTTGAACTCAGGTCCTCCTGATTCCAGGGTTAGTGCTCTATTCACTGCTCCACCTAGCTGCCCCCCTATTACTGTTAAGGGCACTGTCATCCTCCCAGTCACTCAAGCTTGCAACCTAGGTGTCATCCTTGACTCCTCTCTCTCTCTCATCCTCCACTCATATCCACTATATTGCAAACCCTGTTGATTTTTGCCTTGATGACATCCCTTGTTTATGCCCTCTCTTCTCTGACCTTGCCATCACATTGGTACAGTCCCTTATGACCTCATGCCTGGACTATTGTAATAGGCTGCTGGTTGGTCTCTCTGTCTCAAGTCCATTCTCTACTCAGCTACCAAATCAATTTTTTTTTTTTGGTGAGGCAATCGGGGTTCAAATCAATCTTTTTAAAGTACAGGTCTGATTATGCCACTCTCTTAATCAGTAAACTCCAGTGGCTTCCTATCTTCTCTAGGATCAAATATAGAAACCTCTGTTTGGCTTTTAAAAATGTATTAAATTTTTATTTATTTTGTTATACATTTCCCAATTACATTTAAAAATTTGTTTTTTAAAAAATTTCATTTTCAGTTCCAAATTCTCCCTCCTGCCCCTTCCCTCTTGATTAAGAAAACAAGAAATATTATACATATGAAGTCATTAAAACATATTTCCACATTAGCCATATTGTAAAAAACTAAAAGAGCCAAGAAAAATAAAGTAGAAGAACATACTTCAATCTCCCATTACAGTTCACCAGTTCTTTCTCTGGAGGTAGGTAGTATTTCATCATGAGCTCTTTGGAATCGTCATGGATCACTGTACTGATCAGAGTAGCTAGGTCTTTCACAGTTGCTGATTGTTACAATATTACTGTTATAGAGTAACAGTATACGATGTACTTCAAGTTCTGCACATTTTGTTTTGCATCAGTCCCTAAAAGTCTTCCCAGGTTTTTCCTGAAAGTGTTTCGCTCGTCATTTCTTCTAGCACAATAGTATTCCATCACCATCATATACTCCAACTTGTTCAGTCATTCCTCAATTGATGGGTATCCCTTCAATCTCCAGTTCTTTGCTACCACAAAAAAGAGCTGTTACAAGTATTTTCATCCATATGGGTCCTTTTCCTTTGACCTCTTTGGGATAAAGACCTAGTAGTAATATTACTGGGTCCTTGGGCATAGTTCCAAATTGTTCTCCAGAATGGTTGGACCAGTTCAGAACTTCACCAACAGAACATTGGTGTCCCTATTTTTCCACATCACCTTCAGCATTTGTCATTTTCCTTTTCCATCGGGTTAGCCGACTTTGTTCGGCTTTTAATAGCCTTTCATAACCTGGATGCTTCCTCTCTTTCCAGGCTTCTCACACCTCTCTCCTATCAACTTACTCTACAATCCAGGGACATGGGCCTCCTGGCTGTTCCTCACACGAGACACGCCATCTCTTAACTCTGGGCATTTCTCCTAGCTGTCCCCCATGCCTGAAATGCTCTCCTTGCTCATGTCCACCTCCTGGCTTCCCTGGCTTCCTTTAAGTCTCAGCTAAAATTCTCTTTCATAGGAAGCCTTTCCTGGTTCTCCCTAATGGTAGTCACCTTCTTTCCAAGATTTGCCTTATTTATATCTTTGTAGTTGTTTGTGTACTGTCTCCTCCCAATGGACTACAAGCTCTTTGAAGGCAGGGACTTTCTTCTCCCTTTCCTTGTATCTGCAGCACTTTTCACAATGTCTGGCATATAGTTGGTGCTTAATAAATGCTTGTTGACTTGACTATTTATTACCCAATAGTACTTCATTTTCCCAGAGGATGCAGGATTTGCCATTGATGGTATTGGAACCATATCTACAACAATGACTTTTGACTTCAACAGAGGATCCAAAAGGTAAAGAATGTAGGTAGATTTTGTCCAGTCTAAATGTTGTTTCCTTTTGTGGAAATTTCCCTTTTCTGTATTTTTCCCATGATCTCTTGCTCCACTCCCATTCTATAGATGCTTTTAATACCAATAGAGGATATTGAAAATAAAGTCATTACTTGACTCTTTGCCTATATTCTTGCTACTGCTGACTTTTGTAGAAAGAAGAAAATGTGGTACAGCAAAAACATTCTGGATTTGGAATCAAAGACTTGGGTTCAAATTCTGACAATTCAATTCAACAAACATTTACTTAGCACTTTCTCTGTGCAAAGGACTATGCTAGAGTTCTAGAGATTCCAAGACAAAAAACCAAAACAAAACAAAACAAAATGGTCCCTGTACTCCAAGAACTTATTTTCTACAGTTCGTTTGTATATGGGAGTGAGAGGGAGGGAGATACAACATATGGTTGACCTTTGTAACTCATCTACTCTGTGATATTGGGCAAGTCATTTAAAACCTCTAGGCTTCAGTTTCCTCATTTTTAACTTGAATGAACAGTACTAGATAATCTCTGCTGTCTCTCCCAACTCTAAATATGTGATTAAATTTATTTTCCCACCTTTACTTCATCTATCCCATTTAGAACTCAGTCCCTATCACATCAGTGCATAGGATGAGGGCTGGATGTGCTCTTTCCCCAAGCTCAATGGAAGTCTATGGGCCAGGGAGAGTTTAAGTATTTCTTTTTCCGTTCCTCAATGGTTACAGAATGGAGTCTTGTTTTGTAAGAATGGCTATGGACAGAAACGTTCCATTATAGTCCAATGAACCTTAAAATTTACTAGACTAATATCTTCAAGTTTTCTCTGTAGGATCACAAATGCCAAATGGGGAGGCATTGCTGTTATTATTTTTATTTAATGTTGATTTTTAGGAGCTTTCTAGGTCTCAGGGTACATTACAGAAAATGATAATGTAGCAATAAACCACTCAAACCCAATCCCTTGTGAGCCTGAGCTGAGATTTCACAACCTTGGTCAGTTGAGGATGTCACGTTCCTTGCTTGCCTTACCTGCATGTTAACAGCCTCAGCATCCAGGCCTCAGCAGAGACTTTTGTGCAAACAGGAGGAATGGGTTTAGGCCTCAAGGCACCAAACAGGCCTTTTCATCTATTTTTTGCTACAGAATTCCTTAATTTGCATTGGTATTTGCTTCTTTGGGGGAGAATTGACTAAAAGATGTAACCCATCTTCTCAACTCCAAAGAAAACCCAGAGAAAAATGAAAATGGATGATGAAAATCTTTTTTTTCATTTTGTGTTTACTGCTATGGTTCAGCGAATCTTCGCTCTCATCAGTAGGTATATTCCTGTCAACAGGGCAAATTGCAACACATCCATGCTTACCCATCCTGTGCCACTCATAGAATCATAGATTTGGAGCTCCAAAGGTTCTTGGAAGTAATCAAAGGCAACCCCCTCATTTTGGAAGCTCAGTGCTATACAACTACTAAGTGTCTGAGGCAGGATTTGAACTCAGGTCTTTCTGGCTTCCAGGTTCAGAGCTTTTGTCCAAGTCCCCTGAGAATCATCCATGGGGGAGGGGTTCCACCTCATTTCTGCTCTTCTTGTGCATGGCTTAGAGAATTATGGACAGTATCTTATATAGACGCATCTAGGTGGCCCAGTGAATAGAGTACTGGGTCTGGAGTCAGAAAGATCTGAGTTCAAATTTCACCTCAACCATTTACTAACTGTGTAACCCTGGGCAAGTCAACTTAACTTCAGTCTGCCTCAGTTTCCTCAACTATAAAATGGAGACAATAATAGCATTGTTATGAGGATAAAATGAGATAATATTTGTGAAATGCTAGTACAATTTCTCTTTCTCTCTGTCCTTCATTCCTTCCTTTTTCCTTCATTCCTTCCTTTCTTCCTTCCTCCCTTCCTTCCTTCCTTCCTTCCTTCCTTCCTTCCTTCCTTCCTTCCT